CTTGTAGAACTTTCCTTATTATGTCCTACGTTTTTCTAGTAATGTTTTTATTATGCTTGAATACATTTTCTTATTTTACTGTGTAACATCTTTAGAAGCCACTTCTGTAGGGTAGGCAGTTGCAAAAGCTGTCGTACCTGAATTATAGTATGTTGCCTTTTAAAAGCACATTTGCCATTATTCAGTACATGTGACATTTCAATAGCTGCAACAAGTCTGGTTGCAATAGATGGGAAGGCTGTCTAGCAATGACTTGGGTATGTCTGAAGGTTTATAGGAAATCTGAAGGGTTATAGGAGAACTGAAGTTGTAACTTTTGCAGGTTTCAAGGAATAAAACTGAAGGAAATAACACTGCTTGAGGAAGAGAGTAATACTTAGCCAGGAAATATTATTAATTACTCTTAAAGTAAACTTGTCAGTTAGAGGGTCTATTTTAAGTTGATGAAACTGAAAATCATGAATTTGAGCCTTCACCTAGAACAAAATTTAAACAGCATATGAGTGCTTCCTGCTGCAGCGAGTGAGCGTGGTTAATTTTACTTTTCTGCTGGCATTTGCAAAAATATGCAATTTCTCATTTGCTCTTCAAGGAGCATCTCTTGCAGGTTCCATATTTTAACTTGAGTTTAGTTTGCAAGCACTCTCTCCGATACCAGTCAAACCTGTATTGGATTTTGGGGTGTCTTTTGACCTCTTTTACAATGTTCAGATTTTTTTTTTTTTGGTGGTTCTTGCTTCAGGTTGGTCTTTGTTTATGAGTTGACTGGATTTTGGTGAAAGTTACAGTACTAAAGGCTTTCTGAAGAGGAAGGAAGGTGGCGTGTACCTGACTCTGGAACTTCTCCAGGGCTCCACAAGTCCTGTCCCCTCCAGCCAGGAAGAAGTTTCCTCTCTAGCTATTACACTGCCGAACCTTGAACTTTAGGATGTTGATCTTTGTAGAGGTATAGTTGTTATGGAGTTTTGGGATCAAGACTCCATTTCAAGTCTAGGTGTGGTGTTTTTTTACAGTCTACTTGTTTTTGAAGTAACTACACTGACAAATGATTTTTTTTCTCACACAGTTTTTAGGTAACTTATCTATTGCTTTCTTGGTTTCAACTTTGTAGTCTTAAAAGGACTTCTCCTTCCTGAGTAATTATGTTGGCTAAGATAATCCCTAGATGTGTTTTTGTTAGAGCTTATTCTTTTAGCCTCCCTATTTAGAGTTATTTTTCTAACCTTTTCTTTGTATACTTAATGACCAGGGCAACAGAAGAGAGATTAGCTGCCATGACAAAGAACAGAAAAATCCTCTTTTTACTAGAGTTGTTCTGTTTTTGTCTTTCTTCAGTTTAGGACACGGTTCTTTTTCATGAAGAAGTACTTCCATATTAGGCCAGTTTCGAAACAAAGATCCTTTAAACTAAAGAAAGATGTTTGATGTTGTTATATACTTCCTCTTTAGTAAATGCATTCATTCTTGGAAGCACGATGGCCTCTTTCTAGATATGTGTACTCTTAACTTTAGTGCTGGGACCATGTGGTGCCAGAGAACCTTGTTGAGGAAGCCATCGTGAGTATTTTCACAAATCTGGGAGCAGTGTGGGTAGGACAGAACAGAAGAGGGGCTTTTCACTTGGAAGAAGTTCTCATTGGTGTAGAACCTCTCCCCCTGAGCAATAACTGTACTGGTTACTGACTGCAAGCCGCTCACAAGTTTGAGTGCTGACAGCCCCTTTTTAAAAAAGGACGTTAGTCAAATCCGTCTCTCCATGTAAACGAGGTCCACTATCACTCTCTCCTCCCGGGAAACGCCGTGCTGCGGGCTTGGATCCGTGCTTCCCGTGCCGCTGCGGGCTCGGGAGCGCGGGGGCTGCTGCGCCCTCTGCGGGCGGCGGGGCCGAACGGCAGGAGCGGCTCCGGGTCTCTCACGCTGCTGCCGGCGCTGCTCGTCCGGGTGCCGAGGCAGCCGGTGTCCGTCCCGTTTTTAAATCGCAGTGCTCTCTTAAAGTTCCTTGTAGTGTTTAGTTTGGGGTGAGGTGTAACACCTTGAAGCTTTTCTGTTTATCATTTGGCATCTTCCTTCTGTCCTTTACTTCTGACCACGTATGTGGCATTGTTAACAGCAATTAAGATTTTCCTTGACAGCACCTCTAACTGCACAAGTGTTCTCATCCTTCAGTTTTACAGCCTTTGCTGACAACTAGCAGTAAAGATAGGAGCAAGTTTGTACAAACAAAACTGATCTGAGTTTTAGCAGAGAAGATGCGAAATGGGCTTAAGCCTGTACATGCAACATATGTATGTGTATACATTCTGTTCCTCTTTAGAAATGCCATCACCCTACAACAACAATTTGTTTTTAAAACAAATGTCCATACCTGACATTTGGAGTCACCAAGGGCAGTCTTATCATCATTCACTAGAAAGCTAAAGAGTGTTAGCATTTACCTTAACCCCACATGAAGAGAGACAATCTTTACAGGGAGGGACATAGAATATATTTTTTTGCTGAATATTTAGTATATTTTTTCCAAGTTCACAAAAGATATGCTGGGGATGTCAGCTGATAGTAGGTACTTGCAGTCTGGAGGGAAAAGGTGAGGTGGGCAAACATCAATTCTTTCCTGATGTTCCAGCTGTGAGGCTACTTTAATTTGGAAAGACTTACAGACCCAAGTGGATAAGAATATTATTTTGCTTGTTTTCTTATTGTTTAGTTCCTGCTTTTCACTTTACTCTTTGATAAACATGGTATGGGAACGAATAAGATAATCCATCTTTGGTTGCACATTGAATGATGGTTGTAGAATTTTCCAGCTTCATGGTAGTATTGCCAATGTGGGAAGGTTTCAGAGTTCCTGCTTGGACTATGGAATATGCAGCAGATATTTCTACGTTTGCATTCATTTACAGCATACAGTTCTGTGTTTATTAAACACTTTTACTGCTGCTGGTTTCAGAAGTTCTGTAATAGCCCTTGCCCAACAGGCTGCTCTTTTCAGTTCTCATATATTTCATAAATTTCTCCTATATTTCTCATGGATATGCGTGTTTGCGTATATATTTTTTTATATCTGAATTTATGCCATTCGCATGGGGAAGAGGAGTTAAAAATGCTTGTGCAGTTTGTATGGGCTAAATGGAGCTATTTTAGGAATCAAAAGGCATAGAAAGCTAATGTCTGACAATCAAAAAAAGTTTTGAAGTAATAGATAAATGAGAGAAGATTTGCATCCAGTCTGTATATGGCTCTATGGTTGGCGTAGAGAAAGCAACTAGTTTTGTATCCCAAGTCAGAGGAGAAACTAGAATCCTTTCACATAGTTTTACATTTCCTTACATCCTAGTAAAAATATTTTAGTAAGGGAAAATTGATAAGTTTTAGCTTTTGCTTGCATATTTCTGCTGTCATACTCTATATCTTGTTAATAAAGAGTTAATGTTATGGTTTAGCATCGGCTACTTTTCAGTCTCTCCTGCAGTTTCTTGAATTGTATAACCTCTAGATTTGTTAGAAATAGGGCCTGTGCAGGAAGCTCTGTACATAAATTATTACTTGGACTAAATTTTAAGAATTGGGCTCTTCAGCACTGCATCACTAACTTGTCCTTCTTCCTCCCTTCTGCTTGAAGTGGTGATGACATATGACCAGCCACATAGAAAAGCTGGTTTTTACTTAGCTGTTATATTTGTCTGTTTTTAGCCACCAACGCGCTTGCAAGAAACGTGGGTAGAGCCCTTCCCAAATCTTCGTTTGCGAAGCCTAGCCATGATGATATTTGTCTGTAACTGGTTTTGTTTGAGCAACTTCATCCTTCAGGAACTGAAGAAAGCAAGCTCTCTACTGTGGAAGATTACTTAGTTTTCTGGTACTGTTTGTACCAAATGTTAGTTTTCTGATATGAATACTAAGGTCTTCACCCACGGAGACTGCTCATACTGTGATTTTAGGGACTGATACCTATGCAAGGTTTCCACTATTAGTGGGAGCTTGTTTGCCAACTGCTATTCCAACTTTTCTAGGCCTGTATGAAATAAAAATAGAGTGGGTTTTACGGTTCCATGGGGGGGTTTTCTGCATGTATTTGGAGAACCTGTTTGTAGTGACTTGTGAAACACTAGTACAACACTGCTGTCATAAAATCATGGAATGGTTTGGGTTGGAAGGGACCTTAAAGATCATTTAGTCTCAATCCCCGTGTTGTAGGCAGGGACACCTTCCACTAGATCAGATTGTTCAAAGCCCCATCCAACCTGACCTCAAATACTTCCAGGGATGGGGCATTTACAGCTTCACTGGGCAACCTGTTCCAGTGCCTCACCACCCATTATGTTTGACATGATTACATGAACTTCTTTTATCATGTTTACTAAAAGGCTTCCTGTTAATTACTGAAAATGAAGCAGCTTTATATAATGCTTCTGTGCTTGGAGTGTAACCACTAAGGAATGATTAGTGAGAAGAAAATTGGCCCTCAGATGGCTTCTGTTGTTTAATTTGATGAAATAAAGTCAAATTTTTGTTGTCTAATCAAAAGACTTTACTAATACTTAGTCAACAGTTTACTTTCATCCTCAAACAGTTGGATTTAACTGGTGTAGCAGGATTCAAGGATTACTCATCCATAAAGGACTGATGCACTTTCAAATCTTACATGGTCTTATTTTCAAGTAGACGAAGTTGGTTAAATGTCTTCAGAGTACAAAAGTATGCAGTATGACTTGTGTGGTGCATTCTTGTAATCACTGTCAATCTAAGGCATACTAAAAATGTTGTTAAATCTAGTATACTAGCAACTGAACCTTCAGTTTTTCTAGGATGTGATCATGGTGAAAAATCTTGTAAGAGTATTTAATGTGCTTTCTAAGTCTTTTTAGAGAACTTAAATGAATTCTGTGTTGCTCGCATGGGGAAGAGATAGCAAAGAAATCTTGTCTACCTGATTTCCTTCTAGTTTCTGTTCAGAAATTATTATTTTGGCATTTAAAATGATGTTTTTCCTTTTTCTTCAGTTTCTAAGGGAAGATATGCAGTACAAGGATGCCTCTAATAAACATAGTCACCTGCACAGAGAAGACAAACATATCACCATTGAGGATCTGTGGAAGCGCTGGAAAACATCTGAAGGTAGGTAAAGAAGTATAGCTAAAAATGATGGTGGTTACTGACACAGACATAAGTCAAGAATTTTTCCACCAAGTATAGAGTAGTAAATGAATGACTTGAAGCATCTTCATTAATCCATTTTGATACTTTTATTTATAGGCACATGTAAACCTGACTAAGAACTTATTTAGTACAGCTAGTGTTAATTTTCTCTGCATGTGCTTGGTGCATTGTAAGTAAACTAAGATAGCTTACACACTCATCTCTATGATGTTCTAATTTATCAAGGTGACTGGTGCAAGTGCTGAATTCCAGATTAGCATATTTTTAATTTAATAAACCCTATGGGTTGCTCTCAAGCTATTTTTAAATATTTATTGCATGTTGTATTGAGTTGAAAGTTCAATGTACTTCCACTTCAATGTAAATTTTATTTGGGTTATAAGGAGCTAGAATTCTTAGTCCAAAGCATTTTTGAAAATCCTTTTAAACTTGGGGCACAGTAAAATGGACTGACAACACCACCAGCCCTCCCTCATGCTGTTTTAAATGAAATAAGTTGAGCCAAATATTCCAAGTATCAAAAGACAGTATTTAATGTACAGTATAGTGTTCATTGCCAAATATGTTCCAGGATATAGTGATTTAAAAGAAAATTCCAGATATCTGAAATGTTAGAATTGTTAGGAGAAAAATACTTAACTTTTTTTTCCCCTCACACCATTCTGAAGGTGTTGTGCTGTCCTGGTTCTGGCCAGGACAGGGTTAATTTTTTGCAGTAGCTGGGAGGGTGTGTGGCTAAGGCCCCTTATGTTGTCCATATCCCCTAACATTGTTGCTGGGGGATGGGAAAGGAACTGTCTCTCTTCTGGGGAGAAGGGGCTCCTTCTATGAGAAATGTGGGGGATGGACCCATATTTGTTTATTGTGGGGGGGCTTTCTGTGTAAATAGTTTCTTTTTTTTATACCTTTTGTTATTAATATTGTTGCTGTTACTGTTAGTTTTCTTATCTCATTGCCTCTTACAGTAAATTGTTCTTATCTCAACCTCTGACTTTGCCTTTTGTGCCTCCAATTGGAGCAGTAGGGGAAACCAAGTACTATATTTGAGAATACCATTCCTAAACTAGGACATGTGCTAATGGTGCACATAGAGAGATCTAAAAGTTGGTATTTGTCAAACTAGAAGTAGGAACAAGAGAGGAATGGAACTAGGATCATGCCATTGTTCATTCTGTTTATGTAGGAAGTCATTTAAGTGCAGTCTGAAGTAAGAGGTGTTTGCTATGTAATAAATATCTGTTTTAACTAGTGATTTTTAGCCTCATCTCTTCAAATATTCTGTAAAGACTTATTTGCTGAAATTCTTTTCTATGAAAGTATTACAACTGAATTATCAGCAAAAATTATCTCCCCATAATTGTTGGTTTAACTCATGAGTAACTCTTCAAAAATGTAGGCTATAATGATCCCAGAAGTATCTAATTTGTCTATTGCGTATAGCTTTATTTCATGTTTCTTGAATATAGTGAGTAGTGTGAGTAAGACTCAAAAGACTTTGAGAGGAATGTCATGTCTCATAGTGTCTGCATATAGTGGCTTTACTGGGCATGCTGTTGAGAGAACTTAAGTTGCACCACAGGGAGACCTTTAGAATGAGACTCCTGAGCTGTGTTACCAGTGCTGTGCTGACTGTTAGAAAGCAGGAAGCCCCTCAGAAAATGAACTACCTTCATTTGATTTTAGGTGACATGGAAAGTACTGGTTTTCCTTTCTAAATGTTTTAGGAATTTTGATTGATTTGTTTTCTTATGTGCTGCTGTTTCATAGTGCCAGTTTAATGCAATTTGACAACATTAAACAAGAGGAGGGAAGGTAGTGTAAATGACAGTATCAGTAATTTGAAACTTAAGTACTCTATTGAGACTGTGTGAGAATTGCAAGCTCTAAGTAGTGCTCTTGACACTGTATGCAGAAACATCTTATGGATCTATTGCTGCCTAGTTTATGCTGAGTAAATTGCACATTCGTTGACATAAAGCTTGCTTTATGTGAATGTTTGTCTTAAGTATTTGTCAAATAGCTTAAAGGTGCTTTCTGTTTAAGATATTGGTGATGCAAGACAGATAAGATTTGAGGGAAGAAAGTGAAAACGTGCCATTGCTGTTTGGTGTCTCTTTTTAGCATTAAGGAAAACAGAGTTTCCTTTTAAGTAATTGCTTCAGAAGGATCTTATACAGTGAGTAGAACCCTGAGGATTGGCTCCATTCAAAGCTTTAAAAATTGCCTAATAAAAGAAGGAGCTTCAGAATATTGCTTTTTAATATTCCTGACACTGAGCAGGCTTTTGGTGTCCTTGCCTGGTGCAGAATCTTCTAGGCATAGTCTATGCTGGTGCAAATTAAAGGAATTTCAAGGCTGCTGTAGGTTTTACCTGCATAGAAGGAATCATATCATAACTTGAATCAGCATCCAGATTTTGTTGCTGTGTTGCCACACAGTTTGAGTCCTTGAGTACAAAACAAGACTTTAATTTAATTTAGTTTAGTTTAATTATAATATGCTTTTTGTGACCTTTGAAATCTTCTAATCTCATAGTCTGATTCCACAGAGTGCTTTATTTAGAGGAGTGACTATGACCTAGCACACCTGTTTAAAACAGAAAACACTACTCTCTGAGTCATCTGACTTACTGTGTTACTGCTCTTTAAATGTAAATGCCAGTATATGCTTGTTGTATTCTTTGACTGCCTTGTCTTCTAACTAAGCAGTATTTATACATGCACTACAGAGCCCTTCAGCTGTTCAAAAGTAATAAGCTTAGTAGCTACTAAGGTTAAAATCAAAGGAACATCTTCAGTGCTTTTTCTGCTAGAGCCTTGAAGACCTAGAGGTTTTGAGTGCAGACAAGGAGGCAGATGAGCATTTGTTTTGATATCTTAGTACCAGTCTTTGTACAATTATCTTTGAAAGTTCTCTCACTCAAAGGTGCCTGCCTTCTCTTTTTGCCCCTGTGATGGACCATGATCATACAAATTTTCTGTCTGTGCTAGGTGGGTAGGTATTTAGTCTTGGTAGCAAGAGAGAATGTAAAATCAGTGCAGGGCCTTCAGCTGGGTAGTTCTCTGACATGTCTCTGAGTAGGATATGGTGCTGCATTCTTGGTGATGTAGCATTGTCCCTTGGGACTTGATTTTGTAATAAAGTAAACCTGTCACGATCAAACCTGGAGTTCATGAATGGCCAACTATTGTCAGACTAATTCAAATCCTACCAAACCTACTTGTTACAAACTGCCTTAGAAAAGAGTAACTTTTTTTACCATTATGGCATATTTGAACTTTATTGTATAGTATGTCCTGTAGACTGCCCTATAATACAAAAAAAGCTTCTCCTTTGCCTTGTATTGGTACCTTTTTGTTTTCTTTAATTCTCTTTCCTTCTCTGTGAAAAATAGATGGTGAACTAAAGTCTGGTACCTTATTTATTAGGGTAAAAAGGTAAAAAAATAGTTTTATGTTTGTATGTGTGATCATCTGTTGTATTCTGATTTACTGTTGCACAACTGGGACTAAACTGCGTACCACAAAGGCGTTATGGTTGCCTTGCACTTTAATCATTTGGTTTCTCAGGTTTTAAATATCTGGAGGTTAGAAATGTATGCAAGCAGAGGTTGGCTAAGGATGAGTTACATAATGCTGTGTGCTGCTGATGTTACTGTTGAAGGTTCTAAAAACTAAGTTTTGAATGCTTTTGTATGCTTGATACAGAACAATCTTGTGGTCAGCCTGTTCTCAACTTTAAGCTTCATGTATGGCTGTCATTCACTCCTTGCCATGAAATACTCCTATAAAATGTAATTTGATTTCTGAAAGGAGTAGGAGGCCCATAAGAGTACTGAGACTGACACTGCAATGTTACTTCACTTCAAGCATCCCTGCCTGGAAGCACTGTGCTATGTGATAAATATTAAAAAATGATCTTCTAATCGGCCATTAACGTGGGTTAGCAAGGACCAACTTTCAGACAGGGCCAGTTTAAAACTACTTTGGCTGTCTTCATCTTCAGCATGTTGATAGGGCAGTTAAAAAAAAGTAGGAAAAAAAACAACTCAATAACTTGTGATCTGAAATAGAACAGCTGATGCAACTCTAGAGACTAAGTGCTGCTCTGAGGTGTAAACACTGTAGCTTCTACACCTGCCTTCCCAAGGCATGTTGTTGGCATCCTCTCTCTCAAGATATCTGTTTGTGAAAAGAGGTGTGAGAGGGAAGGATGTTATAATTACTCTGTAATGCTGTATGCATTTAACTTGGAGTAATTGTGACTTGCTACTCCACTGTGTGAAGCACTGTATTCTTTTTTGGTGACTAAATTAAGGAAAAGTTACAACCCCAGCTAATTAGTAGGAGTTGGCACATTCTAAGTGGCAGTGCTGATTTAGATGAGTTTCAGCTGGCCTGCTTGCCCTTCAGTACACCTGGTGTATATCACACTTGCCTTGTGTCGTGTTTCAGTGGGCTGAAACAGCTTCTATTGAAGGAAGACCAGTTTGCTTTTCGGTACTGTATGCTGTTGTAGAATAAACAAATATGTGTTTCATAAGGTCTTATTTGAGATAAGTGAAGCAATGTTTTTACCAACATACAGCATATAGAAGATACCAACAAAAAGAAAATGAGTGTTTTCACTGACAGAGTCGGAAAGGGAGAACAGAGTAGTTTAGTCTGCGTCAACCTGGAAAATTTGGGGATTTGCAGACACCTATACTGAACTTCTGTAAATGAAGTATTACTTTACATCATAAATCTAAATTTCTCGTAAAATACGTGCATGAGCAGAGATTCAGACCGTGAAATCTCAGAATAAGAGATGACTATGTATTGATAGCTTAAATGATGAGTGGTCGTTTAATAAGACACAACATAATCAAAGAAGTAATTGATATTAATTTTTAGGTAAACAGGTATTTTTGCATTTAGTTCAGCTTTTTTGGGCACATTTAAGAGAGATTTAAGTGTTTTCAGGTTATATTGTTACTGTCTTTTGGTGTTTTCTTTCAGTCTTCTCTCTTCATCTCTCATTGGCTCCCGTTTTGTGGTTGGTAGGCATGAGCCTGTAAGAAAATTCTTGTGAAAACAAGTTCTTAAGCCGCCATCCAGGGAAAGATCTTGGTGTGTTGCCTCAAATGACTACATCACCAGCTGATGTGTGTTTAGTTCTGCAAGGGTAGCAAGGACAAAGGGATTGAGGCTGAGATCAGTTTAAGTAGATCAAAGTCACAAGAGATCACAAAATGCTGTCCTGATTTAAACTAAAGCAAAAGACTAAATTATTCTGTGGAATTTTTAATAAAGAAATGTTTCTATTTGTTCCATGCTTGTTTTTTTTATAGTTAGCCTAAGCTTTTACTGAGAAGCATATAATGAAAAAGGCAAAATGCCAGAAACACCTCAGTGCTAATTTTTCTGCAATTATATTTGACTAAACTCTCTTGGTCATTGTAGCCTGCTTTTCTACTGCTTGTCTTCTATGTCTTGCTGTTAAATTTTACAAAAATGTAAGGTAATTAAACTGAATTTTTCTTTCAGTTCATAACTGGACTCAAGAGGACACTCTTCAGTGGCTTTCAGAATTTGTTGAACTGCCACAATATGAAAAGAATTTCAGAGAGAGCAATGTCAATGGAACAACACTTCCCAGGTGAATGTTTTTTCAGGATTAGTTTCAAATAATTCTTTGTAGGTTTCTCCTTTAATCTGTGTGTGGGAACAATGATGTGAACCTAAAGTCTAACAAGATATGGTCAAATGCTAGAAAAGAAAAACATCCTTGCAATTTTGAAGAGGTGGCTGCATTTTTTTTCCTACCAAAATATTTTAAAATATGACTTTCATGAAAGTTTTGTTTCTTGCTGTGGAAGCTTTTATCAAAGGTTACATAATTCTGTGTGGTAGCAAACTTTCTTTTGAACATCTTCCAGTCTATTGTATGGGTATATGTAACAAACTATCTGTAGAACCTGTTTCCTGGAGTGTGACTACCACATCTGAGTATATTGCATGTATTACAGAGTTGGTGTCACAAGTCTGCAAATATATCTTTACCTTTAACTTTGCTAAATGGATTTATTTCATGATTTTTCCAGAAAGAAAAGAATAGGTAAATGATTTTATGTTCCTTTTTGCCACATTCTGATATGCTTTTTTTTCTAGCCATACTGTCATATTATATTTCTCACTCTTAATTGGTTATCTGTAATCTGTAGAACTATGAGAAATGTTGTGGATGTCTTTTTTTTTTTGCACAGACTGATTCTGAGTATAATTTATGGTATAGGTAATGTTTTGTCTTATCATTAACAGGATAGCAGTAAATGAACATGCTTTCATGATCTCTCACTTGAAAATAATTGACCGGAGCCATAGACAGAAGCTTCAGCTTAAAGCCTTGGATGTGGTTTTATTTGGACCTCTTACCCGTTAGTAACTTTTTGGAGTTTTTTTCTTATCTCTTAGTTATAAGAATTCAACAGAGCATATTTTCAATGACACTTGATACTGTAGATAGGACAGCTTATCTACGTTGTGGATGTACTGATGGATTGCTTGGCGTGTGTTGTGGAAGTCTGCAGTGAATTAAAAAAGCCAGTTGAGGTGCTGTGACCAGGACAAAGGTTCGCTTCTGTGTATAAGATCATGTAGAAATTTTAGTATGACCCCACTTCAAAGATGGAAGTTGGCTTTTGTGTCACAAGAAGTGTCCTCTAAATGGTTTTGACTGTTTAAATTACACTTACAGCTAATGTTACATTCACTTCCCAGTTAGCTTGGACAGTGCAGCTGGGATGCTGAAATGAGAGGGGATGACCTTCCCAAGAAGAAAAAAGGAGAGGGTGGTGCAAATCCAATAACTGCATCTTTTGTGCAGAGTTGAGTTTAAGTGCAGTTAAACTTGATGCAGCAGTTCCACATCTGACCTATTTTACCATATGCAGACATGTCTATACCACATCAGCAATGCTCTGCATTCTTGCTTGTACACAGCTACAGATTTGTTGTGGTGCTGTGCATGTCCAGTGTTCCTGAATCAGTCAGGCCAGATCTGAGTTGGGAATTTTTAGGGGGGAAAAAAATCACTTTGTATTTGTATTATACCTTTAATGCTAGCAGAAAGTCTTATAAAGGTGCAAATGACTAAAATTGTACTAACAAAGATGTGTACGTGAATCTTGGATATGATAATTTGACGATCCAAGTTTTGCTTTTAAGAAGGGCTGCTGTTAGCCACTCACCATTTTAAAATGTACTTTATTTTTTCCAAGTGCATTTTTAACCCAGCATAGGGTTGCACCTTTCCAGAGGGTGCAAACTGGAGAAAATTTGCTCAAACATAATTAAAGCTCTTACTGGCCTGATAAAGTATAATTGGGGAACTCTATTTAAATAAGTAAAAATAAAGATACAGAGTATGTACTGTAAAGGTTTGATAAGCTTTTCTCAGTCTAATGAATGTTTTAGTGTAGATTAAGTAAATTGTATTAGAGCAGAACTGCTTATGTTGTAGGGAAAATGCTCTGGAATACATTTGAGAGGTAATTATTGGGGATAGTTTGAGGTAATTCTGTTTAGCATCAGATCCTGTCACCTTTTAGGTCAGGGAGAAGGCCTTAGTCTGTTGTCTGTATCAGTGAACTAGTTAATGATGGTGTTATTCTCTGCACAGGTCCCCCTCACAACTGGATGAAGGATTTTATATTAACAGTTTCTATAGTTATTGGTTTTGGAGGCTGCTGGTTTGCATATACACAGAACAGAACCTCAAGAGAACATATCACAAAAATGATGAAGGACTTAGAAAGTCTTCAAACAGCAGAGCAAAGTCTTCTTGACTTGCAGGAAAGGTATAAAACCTAAAAATAAAAAAAGTTAATGTCTAGTTGTCCTTTTGTTTTGAGGTTAAATACTAACATAGATCCTTTACAGTCATAAATTATTTGCATTAAGCTGCCTTTGGATTTTGTTCATCTTCCCTTTGCATGGAAATTGTGATTTCATTGATGCTGGTTTTATGGGTAGAAATTGCACCTGGGTATTTTCGCAGGCAGTATGAACTTGTGGATGAAGGTAAAGAAGGTTGTCTTCTTTACCTACAGATTTACAAGTATGTATTGTTATTTTCATATAATTACAATTTACTTTGGAGTATTTACATACAGGGGAATGAGAACATTTCTCCTGTTTTTAAGCTCTTAAGATTGAAACAAACCAGGACTGATTACTTTCTACTGCTTATATAGCAGTGTGAGAATTGAAAGTCTTCTCTGGTGCACCTGTAACTCAATTGTATATAGTCTTGTATTTTGATATTGCACCTTTAATGGTAGTTCACTTAAAAGCTTGTGTATTTTGCCTGATGGGGATATCACACTGTGTGATGCAGTTGCTGCTGATTCATGAAGCTTGCAGAGTCTTTATTATCACAGAATGATTGAGGTTGGAAGAGACTTCTGGAATTCATCTTGTCCGGCCCTTCCTGCTCAAGCAGGATCATCTGGAACAGGTTGCCTAGGACCATGTCTGGGTGGCTTCTGAATATGTCCAAGGATGGAGACTCTACCACCTCTCTGGGCAACCTGTGCCAGTGCTCAGTCACTCTCATGGTGAAAGTGTTTCCTGATGTTCAGATGGAACCTCATGCTTTGGTTTGTGCCATTGCCTCTTGCCCTGTTACTGGATGCATTTTCTTCTGAGGACTACAACTTTTAAACAAATATGCTGTGTATTTTCTTATACTTTTTCTTCAATTGTCAAGGCTTGAGAAGGCACAAGAAGAGAACAGAAATGTTGCTGTGGAAAAGCAAAATCTGGAGCGCAAAATGATGGATGAGATCAATGATGCAAAACGGGAAGCTCATCGCCTAAGGGAATTGAGGGAGGGAGCTGAATGTGAGCTCAGCAGGCTCAAATATGCAGAGGAAGAATTAGTACAGGTATCTGCAAACTGTTTATAACTTTAGTGTTGACTTTGAATTGGTTGTAGTTTTATTAGATCCTTAGGAGTGTTTAAAGCAGCATTCCTCAAATGCTAGGTTTTAATGGAAAAATTCTAAGCGCGCTTAGTGACTGTCTTTCAATCATACTAGATAAAAGTATGATTTTATCTAGTAAAATAATCCTGAAACTATAAAAAGCCGTAAGCTTTGTATATTAGCTTATCGTAATGTTTTTGGATTCACTGAACAAAAATATATACAAAAGCTTTTTTTATCTTGTTATCAGAAGAGAGATGGTAGCTTTGTCTCCTCTGAAAAGCAATAAATTTTGATTTATTGTACTAAAAAAATGCTGTCTTAAAAAAAAATTTAAGCTTCAAATTAGGAACCATATATCAAAAGAAAAAAAAATCTGAGTATAGTACAGTATATGGTAGGTCTTATGCCAGATTTCAGAAATGCCTGATCTGCCTTCCTGGTATAAGGGTGCTTATACTTCACTTTCTTCTGCTGTCAGTTTTAACGATACTCTTGGTGACACTCTTATTTCTTATTGATTGCTAGGTTCGCATGGCTTTAAAAAAGGCTGAGAAGGAGTTTGAGTTGAGAAGTAATTGGTCTGTTCCTGAAGCTTTGCAGAAGTGGCTTCAGTTAACACATGAAGTTGAAGTACAATATTACAACATCAAAAGACAGCATGCAGAAATGCAATTAGCAATTGCCAAAGATGAGGTAATAACTTATTCGTCAGCTACTTAAAGACTTTTCTGATCTGTTGCTAGATACATGAAATAGTAAACACAAAGCAGATAAGCATTTGGGTGTTTTTTTCTTCTGAGTTGTTTGCTACCTCTCAATATTGCTAATGTTTTGTCATCTGTTAAGTATATTACTCCTAGTTTTATGCATTTCATTTTATCTTGCCTTTTAGGCAGAAAAGATAAAAAAGAAGAGAAGCACTGTATTTGGAACATTACATGTTGCACACAGCTCCTCCCTGGATGAAGTGGACCATAAAATTCTTGAAGCAAAGTAAGAGGGTTACCAGGACAGGCTGCATACTCTTTTGTGCTTACTTATTCTTGAAACAATGTCATTTTTGAGAGTTAAAGAATTGAGTGTCATAGAGGTTTTACATTTTAAGAAAAGCAGTTTAAAATATATTAAAATCTGAATATTTGAACTGTCCCTAATGGATCTTCTGGTATGCTGGAATTAATGCACTTGTGTTGCTTTGCTTTATCATTAAGAACAGCATGTGTAATTTTAATGTGTGCTTTTCTTCAGGAAAGCACTCTCTGAGTTGACAACGTGTTTGCGAGAGCGTCTTTATCGATGGCAACAGATTGAGAAGATTTGCGGGTTTCAAATCGCACACAATTCTGGGCTACCAAGCTTGACCTCCTCTCTCTACTCTGATCACAGCTGGGTAGTTATGCCTCGAGTCTCCATTCCTCCTTACCCAATTGCAGGGGGAGTTGATGACTTAGATGAAGATACTCCTCCAATAGTTTCACAGTTTCATGGTAAGTGGTGAGCTCAGTAAAAAGAAGGGGAAAAGTTGTGGGGTCATGGGAGTTCCCAGTTAGGTAGGAGGAGAGTGCTGAAATCAAACAGGATTAGATCAAAGTCAAAAGGACCAAAACTCTATCTAGCATTTCAGATGCGAGGTCATGTGGGATTTAATGAACTGAAAACTGAGTTTTGCAATAAACTTAACATGAAGAAGAAACCTTTATTCTGTTTCATTGGTGGAGTGGGGTAAATCCAGCTAAGGTTTTGAAACTGCTTGTCAAGCTTGGATTGCTACTTACAAAAATTCGTAATGAATACTGCTGAATTTCTATTTGCACATTTATTCTTTCAGGTGGAAGAGATGGTGTTAATCTAGAGTCCTTTGAGCTATTAGGAAGATCACACCCTTTGAGAGGCCGCATGCTACATAGATTTGCAAACGTTCTTTAGTGGTTGGAGCAAAATCCTGTTGACAAGGAAAGCTTTCAGGCAGAATGTTTGTGTTTGGATACAGTGGATTGTTTGAGTGCAAGGCAAAGAAGCCAAGTGCTGGAGGGAGGGCAATTCAGCTTTGGTTAAACTATGATCAGAAGATATACACTGGGGACTCAGACCACCCTGGTATCATGAGTCATTGTGTCAGTACAAGAGCCTGTTTTGTGGAAGCTTTGATTAACTGGACTCTAGAGGAAAATCAAAAAGATGAGCTCCCATGCAGCTATTCAAACAACCAATATCAAGCTGAGGAACAAGTAGGGAAAAAAGCTATCATATGAGTATATTTTTCTTCCAGGGCTGGGATTCTCAGAAGAAGTACAAACTGTATTTTAAAATAGCTTAAGATCACCACTTCGCTGGCTTCATTTAGCATGCCTTGGGCACATGTTTTTCTTCTAAGTGTACCAACCTGTTTTCTACAGACCACATTGAAAAGTTCATTGATCCCCTTGCAACACTACTTACTACAAGTTCTGATCACTTTTAAGGCATGCTGTTTCTCTAGTTGTCTTCACTGTGAAGGCTTTGATTTAAACCCTAGCAACAAATTTATTGGGTGGCCCAATACAATATGGATACCTAAACTTCTAATTCAATATAGAGAAACCTCTGCTCTGATTTCAAAATGAAGAGATCCATTTATTATCATGATTTTCCAGATGGTCTAAAATGACTACACTTGGATATGTATATAAGACATCAGACTTGTGTTTTTTTTTCATCATTCTTCTCATTCAGCTCTTGCTTAGAAGTGAAGCCAGAGAAGAGAGTGCAGTTGGTTCAGAGCAACTACAATTAGAAAAGGACTGTAGTTTGTACGAACATACTTAGCTGAAACTTTACTGTATGCTTTTTCAATTATGGTTTAATTTCTGTGTGTTAAAGTTCAGTTCATTTGGAAGTGTTTCTGTCTCATTGATGAAAGTTATCTGAATCTTAATAACACTACACAAACTTTAATTTTAGTAAGGCCCAAGAGCCTGATGTTGTTAAAGTGATCACATGAAGGAAGTAGTTTATCCTTAATTTACTAGCTTTTAAAATTTCTACTCAGTAAAAAAAACCTGTAAACACTTGGGAGTGGGGAAGGAGAGAGAAAATATGCTAAGTGATCTGTTGTTGAAACTAGTTTAGGAGTCAAATTATTGCAGGTTAGTTTGGTAACTGCTGAATTACTCCCATCCTTTAGAGAAAAATAACAAATGCACGCAAGGAAGGACAGAAGCAAAATGGCTTGTCATGCTCATGAGGCTTCAGGCAAAATGCAGCATGCAGAAGGTCAGTTAAGAGTGAGACGATTACAGTCTCTGGATCTAAACTGAACCGGGCTGTTACCTTGCCCCCGCCCTTTGATCTCGTAAGATTGACAAAATTTGAAGTCTGTCAGACAGGCTTCTTTGTGCCAGAGCAGTTGGGTTCATAGGCTGAAATGGTGTCAAGTAATAGAGTGGTTTGATCAATCTCAAGCTGAAGAACAAAAGGCGATGAGAAATAGATGTACGACACTGGAACAAAGACCTTACAGGAGGGTGATAGTGAAACTTCTGCTTTTCCATGGACTGATCAGGATTCAGCTGGTTCCTGGATTTAGTGACTTTCATTAGCACTAGAAAATTCTATATGTTAAATTGTCATAGCTGAACCCTTCATATTCCTGGGTATATGCACCTACAAGGAATTAAAATGCTTGTGACTTCTCTCGAAATTCACTGATGGTGCAATCTAGGGGGTTTTTTTATACCAGTGAGTAGGATGGTATCTGATTTACCTGGACATGTAGCACAAATTTGCTAAAGGGATTCTTATTCCTATCTCAGTTCACATTTGCTCTTTTAGGAGTACTTTTATAATGACACAAGATGGTTTCTGAGCTCCCAAAACCTGCTTTTAGGGTCAGTAGGGAGTTCATAAAAAGTAAAATGAAAAGTTTGAGATACATGACAACTCTCATGTTGGGGCTTATAAACCTTTCTTTTCTGCTCAGGAACGGAAATGAATTTATGTGCTGGCAAAGGTGCAGTTACTGTTTTCTAAAAGTTGTGATTTCCTGTATTAAAACGGAGTGACAACCTTTTCTGAGATTCTAGGAAGCGAATCTATAACTTACCTGATGCTAAACTGGTATTGCGAAAAATAAAATATATTTTGTCCGGCTAGACAGAAATAGTTGAATTTTTTTATTGTGTTGTGTTTGTTAAACATTTTGAACATCAGTAAGGGTCTGGTGTGTCTAACGTAAGCAGTGATGCATTCTATGGGACAGTTTGAGGAGGGGTATGAAAAATCCTGAGACTCATAACAGCTAGCCTGAAAACAGGTCTGCAGCTTTATTTCTGTACTAGTATTGCTGCCTAAATAACCTTTTGAAGGAGGAATTGGATTAGGAACATTTGAGTTTGTCACTTCCTGTTGAGACTTTCCTGGTCAAGTCTTGTGTTGCTGTTTCCTCCATGCTTATATTTTTGTTTCTGGAAATTCATAGTTAGCCTGACAAAAGAAAGTGTCATCTAAAAGGAAATTCTTGAGCTTAAAATGAGGTTGAATTATATATTTTCTATCCTGTTACATAAGTGAAATTGGTCTTCCATGTCTAACCTACTTTTCAACTAATGCAGTGTATTTCAGTTGGCTGTTTGGTTAGGTGTACCTACCTTGCAAAACTTTTACGTATTTTTTTTAAATTCCAAATCACCACACAAGTAAAATCCAGGACATTGTGTAACATACTAATTTCAGCACTGCTATTTTTAGTGTATAAGGGGTTGTGAGTTTCAGAAAAATCTTTCTCTTTTTTTTTTTTTCTCGAGAGAGCACAGTGAGCCAGAGCTTTGGTGTGTGTGGTTAGTGTAGTATTTGGCCGGCACAAGCTGCTGCATCTAACTGTAGAATGTATAAGGTGTTCAGTCTTTCTTGCTCTGGAACAGTCAAGCAATGTCAAAGTTGTTTAAAAATCACTGTCACTGAAGCATATACCTGCTATTTAGGCTTCAGAGTAGATATTGTTAACATCAACGTAACTTGGAGGGTTTTGGTTTGCTTTTTCTATGCCTCAGGGTCCATTGTGAAACCTCCCAGCAGCACACTGGCAAGAAGCAGTAGCTTGTGTCGATCAAGACGCAATGTTGTGCCATCATCTCCGCAGTCTCAGCACGCTTTGCACTCCCCTGACCCTGACATCCTTTCTGTGTCGAGCTGCCCAGCTCTTTATCGAACTGAAGAGGAGGAGGAAGCCATTTACTTCTCTGCTGATAAACAATGGTACGGAGATTAGCAAACAGCACTCGGAACTCTGATAGGATTATTGAGACTAACAGTTTAGAATTAGAGGTTAAACCAAGCCAAAAGTTAAAGTAATCTATAGGATAATATAAACTAATATAGTCTACATGGAACAGAGAGTTCTTGTCTGGTATGTGTATGTAAATAGCTAGCTTGTCATATACAGTTAAGTAATGTTACAATCCAGGGTGCACTGAACTAACCCTGATTCTCCATTACAATATGTTACTGGCTTTTACATCTGAAACTAGGATCAAAAGCAATGTCAGCTACTGGGCGAAGAGAAGATGGATGGTAACACAATTCTTACAGCATGTTGAGCGTGTACCTACTCTTGTTACATGGCCTCATAGGAAAAGGTTAAATTCCTTTTGGAAGGAGCAAATGAGCTTGTTGAAAGGTAGGGACACTTGTCCTGAAGAAACTTTTTATGTATGATAGGCTTAAATCTCCTTCTTTCATTTCATAACTTTTCTGACTTCATGTGCCAGAAAGATAGTTTTGTTCTTTGAAGTGAGATACAAATGACTGATTCTGGGCAGATGCTGCTGCCCACAAAAGCAAGATTGCACAGATTAATGACCTTAAGTTTAGATAATAAAATGATGTAATGCAAGTTTTAACTTAATGTTTAACTTTATGTTTTTTGTTTAATTAACTACTAAGGAAAAGTGTGGGTGGCGCTTTTAGACTAACGTTATTGATTCTAAATTAATTTCCTTTTTAACTGTATGAAGGAAATAGTTTCATTATGTTTTCTCTTCTCTTTGCTCTGACTCAGGGAAGTACAGGAAACCGGTTCGGAATGTGACTCCTTAAATTCATCCATTGGAAGGAAGCAGTCTCCTCCAGCAAGTCTTGAGATGTACCAGACAATTTCTCCTCAGAAAGTATCCCCAGAAGAATTCTCACTGGAGGAATCATCTACGGGAGACTCCTCTTCTTTAACTGCAGATATTTCTAGGGGCTCTCCTGACTGTGTAGGCATGGCAGAAACTAAGAGCATGATCTTTAGTCCTGCAAGCAAAGTTTATAATGGAATCCTGGAGAAGTCCTGCAGCATGAACCAGCTTTCAACTGGGATCCCAGTCCCAAAGCCTCGGCACACCTCGTGTTCTTCAACCGGCAGTGATAGTAAACCCAGCCATGAAGCTGCATCTGTCCCCAGGATAAGTAGCATCCCGCAGGACCTCTGCCAAAATGGTGAAAAAAATAAAAAGCCATCAAAAATAAAAAACCTCTTCAAGAAGAAGTGTAAGTGAGATGGGCAGAAGAAAACCTATAGTAATATTATGAGAACTCTATTTTTTACACCTTTAGGAATGTAATTCCATTTGAGCATTCCAGACTGGATGCCCTAATGGAATGCTCAGTAGGTCACCTATATTTAACTGACTGTAATGGTCGTGCCAGCTGTCAATGAGAAATCATTAAAAAGTTCAGACAGTTTACATTAATTTCTGCCTATTTATTTCTTTTTATTTTAGTTTGTCTTTTTCAGTGTGTTTTTTTTTTTTTTTTAATTTGTTGGTTTTTTTAAAGTTTATTCATAAACCATTTTTAAGCCACTTTGGACTCCTAAGCTTTAATGGACTAGTAAGCCTTCCTGGGCTTGCCAAAGTTTCTTGTTTACTGGAGCATCTTCCTATCTTTCCATAGAACTAGGACATTTGTCTACCGGACTTTAACAAAAATAAAAGAAGTAGAACTAAATGAATTGCACTACTGTTTTACAGACTGGAACAGTCTCTGCAAGTGAAACTGAAAGACTTGTATTTGACTGAGAAGATAAATCTTTTCACTTTTAGATCTTTTGGGGTTTTTAAGTAGAATTTAGCATTTCTAATTGACTTGATTTCTGGAAATGGAAATGTCATGCTTTTATTATGGGAAGCTTTGTTAGATGCATTTATTATTAGAATGGTTCAAGTCCTGCTGTAAAGATCATTTTTTTCCCAGGACTTTCACTGTGATTTTACTTCACTGCAGGCTGTATGACAAAAAAAAAGTAATTTATCAAGAGAAAAGGCTCTTGATTCCTTATGCAAGTGATGGTTGTGAAACTTGACTGAAGACTGAAAATATTCACTCTCTTACAGTGAGGAGAGGAAATAGTAGCTTTTGTTTACAGACTGAGAGACAACGGACATTTGGGTTGTGAAAGTTTGTGCTGTGGTAAAGATAATAAATTGGAAACATTATTGTGCTTGGGAATGTTCCAATTTTAGCTGATGCTTGTTTCAGACATGTTTCAGAGTTCCTGTTAATTGAAAGCTGTTGTAGGCTACATTGCTTATGCTTACTGCTGTGTATAAGTTATTATTATATTTTTGGAATTAGCTATTATTGTCTTAATGTCCTCCTTTTGTAAGATTTCATACTTTATTTTTGTATAGTTTGAAGATCTAGCTGTTCAGACATGTCTGAAGTAAATGGTATAATTTTATAATGCATACTGTCATACTAACTCATAATTTCAGATATAAAGATAGATATAAAGGTGAGACTTGACATGCTTCAGATAAAAGCAATTTTTGTTAAGCTTTTATAGGGAGAGATGAAATGACTGTGAGGTAACAAGGAAGCCTTCTTAGGGTAGTGGTAGCTAGTTGTTCAAAAACATGTTTTTATTTTTTTTAAACAGTTGGAGACAAGAAATATACTACTTAAGCAACAGTGCCTTTTATTCAGTTTGAAAATATTAATACTGAGCAGGAATTTCTTTTGAGACAAATTCCAAAGAAATATTCCCTGCTCTAGTAAACACAAGCAATTTACCCAATGATAACTAAACGGTTTCAGCTCTTCCATAGGGGTGTTATAGTTGCCTCAGTAGCAGGTGCCATTGCCAGGGACCTGTGATTAGGGCCTCACTTCTTGCCAATATGTACGTGATGTACTGTACGAAAGAATTAATTCACTGAATGCCTAAATTTTTTCTAGCACGGAGTCTTCAAAACTTGTAGCTAGTTGAAATAGAGTGATACGTGTATTTTCTTATCATTCTCTGTTTAGGTTCCACTGTACATAACCAACGTGTTAGTTCTGTCCTTGAAGTGGTGGTGATTTTAAGAAGGCGTTTACTGTGGCTAGTGAAATGGTTAGAAGAGGGCGGTTATAGAATGGGATGGAGACCTTACATGTGCAAGTACCTTAAAAGTCCTGGTACATTGATTAATTCCATAAGAGAACACAATGAATCCAGAATTGTACTGTCTAACAAAGAATGATTGTATACCATCTATACAGAAAAGCATAAGAGGAATCAACTGTTTGGCAGAGTTTGGAGAAGAAAAAATTGGGGGGAATAGAAAATAATGACAGCATAATATTGTTCCATTATTCTCCAAATCATCAGATTGAACAGCCATAGCTTCAAAAAAAAGTCATTGCAAGGTAACAATGGTCCCTTTGAACAAAGATTGTACACCCTGTACATGGCAGAGAAGAAAAGCAGCGATGCAAAAAGACTTGTGCCAGAGAACCACCTCAATGCTAAGCCTTCAGAGTTGTAGTTAAAAGCCTGATGAAGTACTTGAACATCTACAAAGGGAAAAATTACTTTTATAAACTTAGGGAACTTATAGTGCCTCCCCGACAACATGGAGAAGGCTACTACCAGAAAAGTGTTGATGCAATTGAGAAGTCTATAGCAATAATTGAGTTTAAAGTAAGATCTAGGACTGAGTAGTAGATCTTGGTGTAAGGTTTGAGGAACTCTGTCTCTATCATTATCAAAAAGATGAAGTGGCATTTTGATACTGGAGAGTAAATATTTACACATGAAAAAAAATCTGGTACCAAGGAGTGGAAGGTCAGCTCTTCTTAATCCTGATATCAAAGTCAGGCAAACTCAAATACTGGAAGCCAAAACAGGCAAATTCAGTTTTCTGTAGTAAGTATAACTAAAAAATTAAATGGAGGACATGTTAAACTCATCATTGGCTGTGAGTTTAAGTGTTAAGTATCTTTTTAAAATAAACAATTTAACTATCTTCAAGAAAAAATATGGTGTTGTACAAACAAATCAGATGAGAATATCATAGTAATAGATTTTGGCTTCAAAATGGCAAACCTTTGGAGAACAGACTGCTCTCAACACTCAGTTTATTACCAGCTGTCCTCTAACTTTATAGCTACTTCTTAATAAATATTAGATATCTAAAAGCTTAAATTAATACAATCAGAAGTGGTGAGTACTGTATGTTGGAGCAGAAACTAATTTTAAGTTAATTGAGTTGGATTTATTTTTTAATTATTTTAATAGACCGCTTCCGTTTCTTGCTGCCTAAATTTGTCTGCAACGTAAGTGGCTTCCACTGCTTCTATTGCGGCTAATGCAGAAATTCCTGTCTTGAACCAGTTAGTGTCCTTTTAGTAAGGGGATGTTGAGAGCACTGACACTAAGGTAGATCCTCATTGGCAAACGTCAAATCCAATCCTGATGTTGAAGTACCTGGCATGTATCAACACATCAGAAGTGAGACAATGTGCTTCAAAGGTCCTCTGTTCTGACTCCATTTGCTTACCAGTGTAACTTGAACTTACTGGCAGTCAGTGAGTCTAGCCAGCGTTCCAACCACTAGGATTTCATAAGACACATCAGTCATTCTAGACAATCATCTAGTGTCATTAGAGATTTTTTTGTTTGTTTTGGGTTTTTTTGTTTTGTTTAGCTTTTATAGCTAAAATCCATGTTTTATTTTAAACTCTCCAGTATTTCAAAAGGTGAGGATCTTTGCTTTCTTCAGTATTTTGTTAGAGTATTTTGTCAAGACAGCAGCCCCTTTGTGGAAATTGCCTAAAAGGCTTCTCCCTGAAGAGGTTACCGTTTAAGTCTTTTACCTGTAAAATGAAGAAGTGTCAAATGTGTGGTTCTATACAAAGAAGGAGAAGAAAAACCTTTCCACAGTTCTTACTAAAGCTATGTGACAATTGTTTACTAAAAGAGTAAAGGTTTTGGAAAGGCATTTCTAGTTGCCATGGGAAATACTTTTGACCAGTTTACAGTGGACTTAAAGATTAAAGCAGTTGATTTTTTAAAAAAATTTTATTTTTTTTCACTGCTTGGTGATTGAATTTAAAATAGATCATTGACAGTTCCAGGCCTATGCCAACTTTTCTTTCCCCACTGGTACCTACGTAGCAGATTACCCTCTACTTCCTGATGGACAATTTGCTGAAAGAGGGAAGATTCTCCATCATAGTCTAGGTAGTATTGTTGTAGTAAGAATACAGTTCCTCCTTTGGAAACCTTGAAGATGGTGAAGCCAAGAATACGTGACTTCAGTTTTGTTATGATATTTATGGATGCCAACTGGAGTTAGGCATTAATTTGTGACTGATTATCTAAAAAGATAAAATTAATTAGAAAGCTTTCAAGATTTTGCCCTTTTGCTTCCCAATATATAGGAACATGGCATGCAGGAGGGAAATGAGCTAATTAGCGTTTCTCATACCACCAACTTTTAGAGCTTCAGGATAATTTCATTCCATTTCCAAGATACATTGTTGGAGAGGGATTACTACCTTACATAATGTATACAAAGAAATATTTGTTTTTCATTTACTTAAAAGCATATTTACAAGCAGTGGAGAATGTAATAAAATACATTTTTTTTTAAATCAAATAGAGGAATTACTAGTTCTTGGACTTCTTGTCTATTTGCTTATCTCCTTGTACAATATGTTAAGTAGGGTGAACAAGCTTTTCTAATCAGTTCCAGTTGCTCTCACTTAAGGGGTGTGTGGGTGCCTTACTATCATGTTTGAAATACTGCTCTAAAGTGCTTGTAGGCATTTTAATCCTGGATGTTGCATCTTCATTGATTAACAGTTAAGCCCACTGTGACTGTTTCATTCTAACTGCTACTAAAATTGTCTACCAGTGGCAGAGATTTTGGGATAACTAGTAACCAAAAAAGGCTTTTACCTGTAGAGTTTGACTGCCTGACAGTGTGTAAATGTTTAGATAACCATTCTTTAAGGCTTCTGTAGCTGTTCAAAGGTGTCATACATATGTTTCATTCCCAGCCCTGTACAGATGGTGTTTATCTGACACTCCACTTAGTTCTCTGTTGCATAAACAGAATGCACCAGTGGTTACAATTGTAACAATATTAACCTTTAAACTGTTATTCCTAGGTGCTCTTGCATCTGACATTGCTTAAGCAAGATGGCAGTACTCACAAGTCCGCGCATTCAGAAACACAGTAGATTTCTGTTACCTTTTGATTTGCTCTGCAACTTTGAATCTCATGTTTACCAAATAGTGTGTGTGTGTTCGGTGTATTTAATGTTCCACTGAAATGAAAGTGGGAAGGTTGTTCTCAATTTAGATGTTAGGGAAAGCACATTTGAGCAAGGTAAAAAGAAATTCCTCTTGCTCATTGCAGAGGATGAAAAAGAGTTCAGAGGTATTTCATCTGCTCCTAAGTCAGAAGACTAGGGAACACTCACAACTTAGATTGCTGGAGGTAAAAGGTACACTCAGTCTCAACCTTTCCCATCAGTAACTGTTTATCCAAGAAAAAACCCCCACTTTCTTCTTTAGGTGTACTCTTCAGGGCATTACCTTTGTATTTCTAATTTCTATTCTGTTTTTGACCTAGCATTAAGTTTAGTAGTCACAGCACTAACTTAGGTGATTGCCAGAGCTCAGAGCAGTTTCAGATAAATTTCCGTAGCATGTCTTAATTTTGTTTTAATATGTGCTAAAGACATCTAAATTAGAACTTTTCCCTTCACATTCCTTTTACTTTAATTCAACTCAGTTCTTTGTGATCTCTCTACTGTTAAAAAAATAAACAGGTACTGATAGTTGTTTATAGTTTAGAGTACTATAATTTTTTTTCAGTTGGGAATTACTAACAGATAAATGGTAAATAGTTGCCTTTTAAAGACTAGATCATGGTTGGATATTATAAAAACACTGCTGTACTTTAGTTGAACTAGGTAGAGCACTGACTGGTGCAATTTGTGAATGAATGGTAAATTTATCTTTCTTAAATAATCCTTTGTTTGTTTATATGTGTCTAAAGTTAATGCTGCACAATTATTTTCAGACTTGAATTCATTTAAAATTAAGGTCTGTATGTCCAACCCTACAAAAGTCAGTCTTCAGTTGTCAGCCATCACTCCATTCTTACAGACATTAATTACAATCTTGAATATTTGTACTAGCATAGTAGGTGGCAGAATGGATTCCTGTAAGTCTTTGGGTGGAAGGCACAGAACTTCTGAAGTGAACCCTGTAACCTGTGTTCTTTATCAGCTTTCAAATCCATCTCTCAGTAAGATGGAGTCTCCCCAGGGGAATGTAGATGTACTTACTGCTTGGAACTTTGTAGTTAATTATATTTGGCTCTCTAATTCTAATAACTTGCATGTGCGCTATGCTTGCTTGCTTATCAATGGCTGACAAAAGCTATAGGAGATCTTGGGGGTTTGTTTTAAAAAATTGCTGTGGGGGAAAAAAAGAAAGACTGGCAAGAGAAATCTGTCAGGCTGTGAACTGAACAGAACCTAGAACCAGCAAAGATCCCAGCTGTTTGTCAAAAAGTACTATTTAAGTAATTCTTAATGAAATGAATTGGGTAGCACGTGTATTTTCACATTGCTCTCCTCCAAGCAACAAACGTAATTAAAATACCCTAGACTTCAGCAAGGCTATTTGGGAGATGTCTTGCCCTGTTTTTATTTTTAATTTAAATAACATTGAGTAGTAGTGAGTGTTCAGCATATTAATGCCTGACTTAAAAGATTAACAGAATTTGAATGACTTGCATTGTTTTGTTTAATTACTGCTTTATAAAAATGTAGATACTTGCATAAAGCCCATCATTGGATCTGGGTATGTTTCAATGACATAGCAAGAAGAGGACCAAGACAAGTAAATATATGCACAATTTGAATCTTAAGATGCTTTACTGTTCGGGGAAGAGATGTTGTTCTCCATGCAGATTCTGCTCTTCCTCTGCTTGCTCTTGGCTTCTGTTTGTTTTCATTAGTTGAACTAAAATAAGAAACAAAACCCTCAGACTGACTAGTTTCTGTCTCTAATATATACACTGTACTTGCTTTTAACCTCATTTACTGCATGTTGTTAATGCTGTACACAAATGCATTTGGAGTATTTCTTTGGTGTTGTACAGCATGATGCATTTCATTCCTTTTTCTAGTTTACCTCCCATTAGCTATATATTGCTTTACAACTGGAAAAAACTGAGTTTTTGGGAATTGAGTCTGTTTGCATATAAAAATATTTTTTTTTCTTTTCTGTGAGTCTTATGAGAAATGTCCTGCTTGGAGAGTCTCAGACAGTATTTTCCTGTGTTTATTCATGTTACTTTGCTTTATTTTATAAGTGGAAATTGATTTTATTGATTTCTGATGTGTTGTTACACTTAATGTTGAATAAATCTGACTTCCATTTTGAAAAGTGAAACTGTGTTAGTGAAAATGTTATGTAGTGTTAATCTTAGACTATTCCCTAAGTATAAAAACTTTGATTTGATTTTTTTAAATTTTTTTTTTTATCTTGAGATAAATTTTCTTTGTTCTGCTTAGGATTCTGGCCTATATTTCTTTGCTTCATGCTATTATTAAAACTTGACAGCAATATTACTGGGAAGGGAAAGGTGGAGACAGTTGTTTGGCAACCAGGGTGCTACAGTTAGGCTTAGAAATCCTGAGTCTTACTGCTTTTGCTGGAAAGAACCTTTCTGAGTAAGTTGCTTGACATTTTGAAGATTTGGGATTTTGGTTTTGTGGGTTGCTTTTTTTTTTTCCCTGAACAAGCTGAAAAGCCTTTCCAAGTGACTGCTGGAATAATGAGTAGCCTTGTGATTTTGAGCATGAGGATTAGTTTGAGAACCTGTGGCTCTACCAAAAAAACCAAATGTCTTTGTGGTTGTTTAATATTCCTTTTAACTTGTAGTGGCTCTGAGAAGGAAGAAGCTCAAGAAGAGCTTTTTAAAAGTGGCTTCTCTTGTAACCAAAAATCCCACCTATGTGGAGGTGACAAGATTGTAGTGAGGTAAAGGAGTGAGTGACAATTCAGGTGTAGACCATGGGATCACTATGAGTCATGGTTAGAGAACTTACAGTGCAAAATAAATTATTTTTTCCTGGATAAAAAGAAAGGACAATTGAATCTGTATATAAACTATTTTCAGCTGTAGTTTTCTAATACAACCCACTTCAGAAGCAATAACTTGATGTGTGTGAGTTGATCACTACTTTCACTTCAATTTGTCCTTAGTGCTCTTGATTAAACAGTGGTAACTGTTTATCAGTGGGAAAATCATATAGGCTGGCAAAGCCTAAATCAGCTCGACATCTTCAGAGCTAAATGCCTTTCTTTTGGGGACCTGCTGTTAATTTCTTCTGCAAATTTTGATTGAGCTATTATAGCACAGCTTATATTAAATGTCTTATTTTACTGCAAGACTTGGCACCCAAGCAAGTGGAACACAGAGCATTCTAATCCCATAGGACATTACTGAACTTTGGTTAATTAACAGCTTTAGTAAGCTGTTATGCAGTTACTGAAGTCAGGGTTTGATTTGTTGGTTTTTTTTTCCTAGATGAACAGCTTTTGATTACTATTGAATCAAAGTCTTGCCTTACCTTGCCAAAACTAGGCTTTTAAACTGATAGTTTTTCTAACTCCACTGGGTAATGGCATCACTTGTGAAATTCTATAGCACCCTGCTTGCCCTCAGTGAGATGGAGAAAGTGGAATAGGGTTGAAATGGGACAGGTAATCTCCTCTATGGTCCTTTGGGCATTTAGCTGTTCCTAGCCACAGAGCGCTCCTGATTGAATCGGTTCTGGAGCAGTTTCAGAAAGGTCACCCAATACTTCCTGTTATTTTGAATGCCTTGTAAGGATGTGCTAAGTATCCACAACCATAGCTATACAGTCGAAAATATTTCTTTATTCAATGAAGTTACCTGTATTTGAAGAGAGGTGTAGCTGAATTTTCTGTCGACTTAATGCTGCAGTACTTGTCTACTTCAATCCTTTCTCTCCTACTTCTGTACTTAAAATTATCACCTTTTCCCTAGTGTTTGTAAGAGGAAGTTAAATAGTTGAGTTCCAAAAGCCACATGTATTCTATGAGGCCTTATCTTTCAGCTAGTGGCTGGTCATAGTCTGGAAGTGATTTCTGAACCTCATGTTGGATTTCCTGTTTGTTCTGTGTACTACTAAGCTACTCACTCTCCAGTTTTTCTCATTGGTTTTATACAGAGGACACTTAGCAATAGAGAAATATTCCAGAAATTGTATGTGACAATTGCAACATGGGGGTGAAGGCATGTGAATATGTGTTTGGGTGAAGAAAGAGACTGGGGACAGGGACATAGGAGAAACAGTATACCATTAATTGTTTGTACTCTGAAATGCAAGAGTCTGGAAGAATGATTGAAGGGATAAGGTTTGTACAACGGAAGTTTGAACACAGACTATGCAATTGTAGCTCTAGTTTCTTTTTCCTCTCCCTTACTCCTGCTTTCATGAAATACACCCATTTTTAAGGTTTAGGTACAAAATCCTAAGGAGGATTGTGAATGGAAATACTGCTTTGTGGGGAAAAAAAAAAGGTCCATTCTGCTTTCTCCTCAGCCTATAATTTGTATAAATCATTTTGTAGCAATTTTAGATAAAATATTTTGAGAAAGATAAATAAAAAAACAGAAGTAAAATCTGATATACCCCTGGAGATAAAATGTTATCTACCAGGAACACTCCAAGATAGATAACTACCCTAAATTTCTACAACAACAACAACAACAAAACAAAAAAGAAACAACAACAAAAAGCACACAGCAAAACCAAACAAAACTCAAACAAAACCCCCAAAACAAAACACAAACCAAAAAAACCCCAAATCCTACAGTGTTTAAGGTGTTTTCTTTCTTTTTAGATTGCTGTTGCCTAGTTAGAGCATATAACAGCCTGGATAATTGCAGTTGACATTGTCAGAGACTTTGGTTAATTTCTGTTCAGGGTGGAAGAAGCAGCAGAGACATAAGTTTTGATGAAAGTTGGTGAAGTTAGTGTATCACCAGTACCTAAGAAGCAAAGGGCTTCTGAATGTGGACTTTTTCTAATTATATTCCTGTCACTTTAAAAAGCCCTTGCATTTATGCATCTAGACATTGCCGAATTGTTCAGCCACAGGGGTGCTTAAACTGTGTAGTTTCTGCTTTGATGTATGACTTCTGATTTGTAAACAATAAAACCTCTAAAATTAATATGTAGACGTAAAAGAAAAAAAAAGGCAATTCCAAAAAAATCAGTTTAGAAACTTTGAGTAGAAAAGAATACATCCTCTTAAATTTTCTGGTGTAGACTAACTAAATATGACAATTAGTTGTGTGTTGGTGATCTTGATTTCTTTCAGTAAGCAGCTCATCCCTCAGTCCCACCATCTCCCTCAACGTGGTTATGTTTTGTAGTGAATCTCACTTTTATCTTGTGTAATAAAAGTTTCTGCAGTGCAGTCTAGGCCCTCCAGTTACCTCTGCATTCTCCAGTGTCTAAATCAGGTCTGGGACACCTCTGCTGCTTTGCTGTTGGCGATATATCTCCTCATCTTACAAGCAAACCCAAGTTTTCTGGAAAGTTCAGATTTTTTTATTGGAATTTTGTTTAGTTGAGCCTGGAATACTTCAGTCGGGCAGGTCTGGCCAGAGCTGCTGGGCATTGTTAGTGATCGCGTGTCTGAGTCAACTGCTGTAGCTACTTGGTGCCATTGCTAATATTAGCCATAGGCAAGTATATTAGTTGAGGCTCTGCAGGCAAATGGAAAAAATTCTCTAATTTCAAATCATGCCAATATAAATTAAGGAAAAGCCTTGAAGGAGTTCTAGTTATTGCAGTCTTGAATTAGGTTCTTTTCTTGAAAAGAAAAAATTAGTATTATTTTGTTCTTCAACATCCCAAAGTAGGGTGAGTAAAAGGAAACATAGTAGTTCTTCCGAGAGGTGTGCAAGCTCTGTGTTTGTGACAGTGTTCATGACATAGCAGCCAGGAATTAAGAAACTAAAAGGAGTAATATGCTTGCATAGCTGATAGGAACAGTGAAGGCACCTTGATAGATTTACCAGTCTTTAATTTCACTAAAGATAGGAAAGATGGAATTTCCATAAAAAAGTGTAGAAGAGCAATTAGATGATCAGTTTTGATAATGTCAACTACTTTATTCCCTAGAGTGCTCTAGATGTCATTTAGATCTCAGGAAAGAGACTTGGCAGCCTCATGTAGGATTTGGTGTTGAGCTGCTAATGAACTTGAACTTGCCCGATGTCGGGATTGGAATTAGGTGTGTAGAAAATATGATAAAGACACTTATAGTGTGGCCAGTTGTGCAAGGCAATCATTAGCTGCTGTGATACTAGTTTCTCTTGTAAGAGTTAACTTTACTCTTCTTGAATGAATCATATTGAGAGA